AGATTAAACACTATAAGATCAAACACTGTAAGATCAAACACTGTAAGATCAAACACTGTAAGATCAAACACTGTAAGATCAAACACTGTAAGATCAATAATAAGATTAAACACTATAAGATTAAACACTATAAGATCAAACACTGTAAGATCAAACACTGTAAGATCAAACACTGTAAGATCAAACACTATAAGATTAAACACTATAAGATCAATAATAAGATTAAACACTATAAGATCAATAATAAAATCAAACACTATAAGATCAAACACTGTAAGATCAAACACTGTAAGATTAAACACTATAAGAATAAACACTATAAGATCAATAATAAGAATAAACACTATAAGATCAATAATAAGATTAAACACTGTAAGATCAATAATAAGATCAAACACTATAAGATCAATAATAAGATTAAACACTATAAGATTAAACACTATAAGATCAATAATAAGATTAAACACTATAAGATCAAACACTGTAAGATCAAACACTGTAAGATCAAACACTGTAAGATTAAACACTATAAGATCAATAATAAAATCAAACACTGTAAGATTAAACACTAAGATCAATAATAAGATCAAACACTATAAGATCAATAATAAGATTAAACACTATAAGATCAATAATAAGATTAAACACTATAAGATCAATAATAAGATCAAACACTATAAGATCAATAATAAGATCAAACACTGTAAGATTAAACACTGTAAGATTATACACTGTAAGATCAAACACTGTAAGATCAAACACTATAAGATCAATAATAAGATCAAACACTATAAGATCAATAATAAGATTAAACACTGTAAGATTAAACACTGTAAGATCAAACACTATAAGATCAATAATAAGATCAAACACTATAAGATCAATAATAAGATTATACACTATAAGATCAAACACTGTAAGATCAAACACTATAAGATCAATAAGATCAAACACTATAAGATCAATAATAAGATTAAACACTGTAAGATCAAACACTGTAAACTCAAACACTGTAAGATCAAACACTGTAAGATCAATAATAAGAATAAACACTGTAAGATGAAATATTGTAAGATCAATAATTATAAGATTAAACATTGTTTAGATCAGACGTAAACATCAAACATTATAAAAACCAAACATTGTAAGATCAATAATTGTAAGATCAAACATTGTAAAATTAATCATTGTAAAAATCAAAGATTGTACGATCAAACATTATCAAAACCAAACAACCCGGAAAACAAAAACTGCAGAGTAAAATGAGAKAATCATTAATTTTTCAATGACAATGTTTTATTTTTTCAATGCCAAATCTCTTTTTTCAATTTCAAAAAAAGCCCTCACTGTTTTATCTCAGTAGCGGGTGATATGCACTACTTCAATAAATACAAAACCTTTTTATTCTATTTTTTTGTTCTTTTCACAGACAGAGTTGATCTCCTGGATGAAGCAGAGGAATCGATCGACCAGCTCGCCGTTGTGACCTCCAACATCTTGTTCTTCGTCGTCATGTTCATCTTCGCYGTCTTTGAAACGTATGCATGTCTTAAAAACGTTGACGTCAGAAACTCTCACACAGGATCCGTCTCTCTGCTCAACTGGTTCTGACTGTGTGTTTTTCGGGTCAGAATCGGCACGCCCTTGTCCATGGACATGTTCGCCTGGACGAGGAAAGAAGCCGTTCTGTACAACGGCATCATCATGTGTGCCATCGGCTTTGAGTCTATCCTGGTGTTTCTGGCTGTGAAAGCAGCCAGTCGAAGGTATTCATKAATTATTATTATTAGAAATATTCAGGTTTTCTAATCGTTGTTATTTATCAGAACTTTTTTTTTTTTATTCTTTCCAGGTTCGGGGATCGTCCTGTGTTGCTCACAGGCTTTTCTATAATTTTCTGTGGTTTCATTATTCTGCTTCCATGGGGAAATCATTTCCCTAAAATCCAGTGGGCAGGTATGTTTTATAGTTGCTACAGTTTCACTGTAGCAGTCATTTAAAATGCTAAACGTTTTTATTTGTAACATTTAATTTCTTTATTGTTTTAGTTTAGATTTTTCCAAAAATTCAGAAACAATTTTTAGTTTTTACTTGTGGGCACTGAACAAGTTCACAAACCACTAATCTGCTAAACAAGTACATTAGCTCCACTGATGCTAAACCGCTAATCGGATAAAAAAAAAAAACTAGCGGAAGCTAACGCTAACCCCTAATTCGACTGTCACTCAGCCTGTTTCTGTTAGTTTTAATTTGAAGATGAGTGGGATCATCRGTCTGTAACCGTTTCCAAAGTTAGCAATAATGCTAATCTAAATGAGAAGCTAGTTCTTCTGTTAGCGAAATAGTTCAATATCTATTAATCCAAAAAGGTGCCTCAATCAAACGTCTTCAGGGGGTTAAACTTACAGTTGATGAGATTTTAAGAGACTTGAACTCGTTTATTGTTTTTATCTACATCACAGATGTCAGAAACAACTCGTTGGTCAGCCGGACGTCTGAGGGGACGTTAGCCGCTAACAGCACGTTGGAGCCGACGGGCTGCCCGTACGAACAGACCTGGTGTCAGTATACGCCCGCCATCTACCTCGCTCAGTACATCTCATCCGACATCCTTATAGGAGTGGGTTACCCAGCWTGCAATGTGATGTCCTACACATTATATTCCAAAATCCTTGGACCAAAGCCTCAGGTGAGGASCAAATGAACCTCTTGTTTAGTAATAAACKGTCAGAATGCTKTCCGGCTCTGAACGGTCTCCCTGCTCCGCCTTCAGGGCGTGTACATGGGCTGGTTGACCACCTCGGGGAGCGGCGCGAGAACTCTGGGCCCCGTCTTCGTGTCCCACGTCTACACCCTGCTGGGCCCTCGCTGGGCCTTCAGCCTCATCTGTGGGATGGTGGTTGGAGCCATCACCCTCCTCAGCTCCACCTACCGTCGACTCATCGCCTACTCCGTTCGCCACGGGCGGATTGTGGAGTAACGACCGTCCTCGTGGTGGAGATTGCACAGCGTGCAGCCGGTTTACTTGAACAAACCTCTGTTACGCTTCCTTTAAACGTGAGAACTCGTATTAAATRGTCTAGAACTCAGGGTTTTAACTTTTAAACTCGATCTAAAGAACGGGGAGTTTTAAAGGCACATGCTCACTGAAAACATTGTCTTATGGTGTTYTTATTTTAACTGAGCAGAAAATGTTTCTGAAGCGTTTTTGGTTCAGCKTTTTATTAATAATATACAATAATAATATTTTATGACTTTAAAAGGCCTGAACTTGAAGTTAAAAACTACAAGTTTGGTTATTCTTAAATTATTCAGAGAATTATGTCTGAGTTTACTGTAACAATGAATGGAATTATGCAATAAATGTTTAATACAAACTGTTTTTGTCAATTTTATTGCACTTATACTGCCTAATGTTTTCTTTTTTGTGTGTGTTAATTCCAGAGGAAGAGATTGTTTTTCTCTGCTGCTTTTGTGTTGAATTTAATAAGATGTAATTAGTATTCTTATTGGTCTTTTAAGGGTGCTTTCTGGAAATTACTGTATGACTAATGTCTTTACAAACTGAAGTTTACATCTTTAACTGAAACTGGCCCTGAAAATAAACATAAAACAACCTTTCAGATTGATGTAATATTTTTAAAGTAGCTGAACTATTCGGGTTGACCACCAGAAACTCAAAYGTGATTTTAATGATGCTTTATCAGAGGAAAGAAATATGACGACAAAGTGTTAGTTTTACTTTATATAACAAATTCTATAAATTTATTATTGTTTTTTTAAAATAAGTCGAAAGGGTCAAGTAGTTTTGTAGCTTTGGCCAAACTTCTGTTTGGGAAATAACTTTGGTTATTCACTAATTTAGAAGCTGTTGTTCATAAAAATGAGCAGCAGGGGGCGGCWGCTTGTTTGTTCAGGCCACGGTGCGCCAACTGCGCATGCGCCAAGCCCAGAGTTCTGAGTCGACTCCCGCTCGAGCTGCGGGAACGCGGAACGGGAAAAGGCAGCTTGGCCAAGAAGCTGCTTAAATTAGATTTGGTAATGTAACTTTAGACGGTGTTTAGTGCAACTGAGGAATATAAAACGTCTCGGCGGGACGTGCTTATGTGAATCATGCAGGTATTTACAGAYGAAACCGGTAAGAAAAAGCTAATTCGGGCTTGTTTTGTTTAGCTACATTAGCACCAAACAAGCTAATGTTTGCTCGACGTTTATGAAAGCTGCTCTGTTTATCGCTTAATGCAGAACGCCTAAACTCTGTAAGCTAACACCGAAAACGAGTCTGTTTTTCAAACTTTTGCTTCCTGTCTGTGTTTTTCAGAGTTTACGGATGTTCATATGATCGTAAGTAATCTGCTGGTGTTTTGAAGTTGATGCAACTCTTTGGGAAATGGCCTTGACAGGAGCAGCTGCTGTTTGAGGCACTTTTTAGTGAAACAAACCTGGAGTCTTGTGACACAAAAAAAAAAAAAAAAAAAAAAAAAAAACTATGTAAAACATTTGACTTCCACCTAGTCTAAGTTCATAAACTTAAATGTCTTGTAAAAAAAAAAAAAAAAAAAAAACACTTTTTGGTTTCCGGTGACAGACAAAGCCATATCTAAAGCTGCCACAAAAGTTAAACTTAAAATAAAACTATTTCATCATCCCATGTGGAAATTTGACTCTTTAGCCTTGTTTACTTTTAACATGTTTGCTTTTCTATACTGTGGTCCTGTTGTACCTTTGATGCCTGATTTTTAATTTAGTTTCTTTGTACTTTTACTTCATTACTTTAAAAAAAGTAGTGCATCTTCTTGAGCATTTTTTGCATAATAGGAAGGAAATAAGAGTTTTACAACAAAAGAAAAATGCTAAACCAAAACCATTTTTCTTCTTAACTCATTTATAGCTGATCAAAAATAAAGTAGTTTAGCTCTGCATGTGCAGACAAATGCTCCAGTTTAAGTAACCAAACTTATTTAAATGTTAGAACTAACTTTTGAAGCCAAATTATAATTAATAGCTCTGTTAATCTGTGAGGTAAATGCCAGTATTTCTACAAAATGCCTGCATGAATAATTGTTTTTTATTTTTTAATTTTTTGGCCCAAAGTTTGTTTATATTTGATGAAAGATGAATCATAAAAATCGTTTTCCTGCTTGTAGTTTCAACATTTTAATTTAAAAAATAATCAAATTGTTCAACCTATAGCTACGATGTCCTTCCTTTTCAGTTTGAATCCCAAACCAGACAATTTTGACTTTTAGTTTAAAAAAAGAATAAATAAAAATAGTAGTAGTAAAAAAAGCAGCTCCTTTGCTGTAAAAATGAATCCAGTGAGTTGAGTTTTTCAGTATAAATGAAAGTGAAACCTAAGGATGGTTTCTGCTCCGGCTCCAGATCTGTTTCAGACAATTCTCATTCAGGACTTTGTTGATCTGATTTTAATGATTGTAAACAACAACAACAACTCAGGACTGTCATTCACTCGTCTCTCTTTCCCGTTTAGCAAAAAGTTGTGGGTATGTTTGAGAGTCGACAATTACAAAGGATTGTTACATGCGGCCTTCTTGGTAAGGTGATAAGAAAGATACACAATGAATACAGAATTATTGAAATAGTATGAAACGTCAGGATAACCTCATATTTATTGCAGTATGTTGATTGTTTTTAAATAAACATGTTTGTTCCTAACAGGTATTGAATACGATGAAGATCTAGATGTGGATGATTATCACAACTGGCCTCATCAACATAGCAGTTTTTATGGATACCAAAACAACAATCGRGGATTAAACAGGAACCAGTCGAGGTCATCAACCTCCGCTTATCAGCCTCTGAATTATCCTTCATCTCGAGACTCACCCAGCCTGCCCTTTGTGAAGGCTCATCCAAAGGAGAGCGTACGTTCAGCGCCGTGTTGTAAAAGTTACACAAGCTGATCTGAGCCCACGTCCGTTTTAACGTTTATCTTTTGTTTTAGGATACTGAGCGGAGAGCTAGGTTATTACAAGAAGCTAAAAAAAACAAAGAAAAAGCTGAGAAGAAGCGGCTTAAGAAACAGGTGAAAATTGTAAGCTTCAGGAGCTGCTGAAGAAAGCAAAGATTAAAACTAATATTTTGTTTTATTCAACAGAAACAGAAGCAAAGAAAACAAATGGAGAAGAAGAAGAAGCAGAATAAAGAGGTGATGAGTTGGCCAACACTTAACAGAGAGTTGAGAACGTCAGAAGTGGGGTTCTGTGGAGCGGTACAAACATTTAATATCTTACCTGTTGATGATGCCTCCTTAATCTTAGTTTGGAGAAATAATCTTTGGATTGCAGAGAWAAAGGAGGATTTGTTTGACTAGATTTTAATTTGAAAGCAGAGTAATTATAAAACACAGAACCCCACCTTCAAACAGTCTGACGTCAGGCTAAACAGCATCAAGCTGCAGCTCGATACAAATTTGTAATGCTTTTGTTTGCAGGGAAACGTTGCAGAAGACAGGAAATCATTTGACGACCCAAAGGAAAACGACCCAAACTCAGATGTGACGAAATCCGCCGCAGCTCAAGATGCAGACAGCGACGACAAGAGCAGCGAGTACGAGTCCAGTGAGGAAGAGGACGACGCCAAGAGCGACTCTGGAGACTCAGAGGTACTGTTACTCAAACAGAGGACAGGATTTTAACGGGATCTCTGATTAATAACATTAAATATTTAATAAACATTTGCTTCAACTGTACTGCAGGATGTGTTTTTATAAATTAAAAATTATATTGTCCCGCAGACAGCACCATAATATTTACACTGCAAAGCATTCTGAGTAACGTATGACAGAACCTCAGCTTTAGCTTGTTAGCTTACACGTTAGCTCCCGAGCTAATAATTTGAGCTACTAATGCTACATACACTCACCGGCCACTTTATTAGGTACACCTGTCCAATTGCTCGTTAACACTTAATTTCTAATCAGCCAGTCACATGGCGGCAAC